TTTTTTTAAGATCAAAATAATAATTATATTTAATTTAACACTAAATTATTAAACTTTTTAATTTATTTTATTTTAGCAATATTTTATTTAACAAAATAAATAATTTTAAATATTACGAATTATCATTTTACAGAAAATTTTTAATTTCGTCGGAAATCCGCCGGAAAGTCCGTCGGAAAAGCTAACAAAAAATGCGTCGGAAATAACTTCAAAAATTCCGTCGGAAATAGTCCGTCGGAAATGCGTCGGAAAATCCGTCGGAATTTCTGACGAATTTATTTCCGCCGGAAATTCCGTCGGAAATAAGCTGTTTTCCTGTAGTGGAGGGGTTTGAAATATATTTATTCGTTTATTTTTTTGTAATAAAAAAGTTTTACATTAATAAAAAAGGTCTACTGGGATGGGTGACAGCGCATATGTTACTTAAGATAAAATTAGTTTCAACATTAATTTTTAATAAATATAATAGATTTGTAGATAGAGAGAGTGAGCGAGAGAGGAGCGATATCAGATAATGAATGAGAAGCAAAGAGAATCCACAACATCAGCAAAGTGAACAAAAACAAAAGTAGAAGATCCACCTCAAACTCCTCTCCCCACCTACTTCTTTCTCTCCTCTTCTTCTTTTCTTCTCTCTGCAACCTTCCCCTCATTAAAAATCTTACCTTTATACTAAATCTGATTCCTAGAAGGGAAGGCCCGTATCACCAAATAAGCATAAGTATAACAAAGTAGAGAGAGAGAGAGAAAGAGAGGGAGAACATAGAAGGATGATATAAGAAGAAGAGCCCAACTGGTTCACTAGGAGGGAGGAGTTACCGAGCCCCGAGGAGCTAATGCCACTTTCCCAATCTCTAATCACTCCCGACCTAGCCCTCGCCTTCGACTTACTAACTCCAAACCCTAGTGCGACACCTGGCCTTAACACCCATGATACTGCGGCGAACCACCAACCTACGCAAGCATTGTTTAAGTGGAAGTAGAGCTATAAGCAAACATCATGAGATTTGTGTTATATTCATTTCATTGCGAATGTTAATATTCTAACGTCGCAAGTACAAATGACATTATAAACTAAATATTATAAATTGTTGAATCTCTATATAGCATTGATGAAGGGAGAAAGTCAAGTGTAAGTAAAGAAAGTGTTCTGTAATGTACCTAAAAGCATCTCTAAAGTGTTTTTGCAAGTAAAAGTGATAATTTTGAAATCATGTATATAATGAAACCCAGATAATTCATATTCTATTTACACTTTAGTTATCGTTACTATCCTTTAACTAATTATTATTTAATATTTTAATTGGATATTGATCTCTGTTATGGGTCAATAAAAAAAAAGTCTATTAAACCCGTTATGCTTTGTTCTTTTTGATATTTCAGGCAAAGGGAAGGGCTCATAGTAGAAAAGTGTAGAAGCAAAATCTTCCATGTCATAGCAACTTGAGATATTATTTTTTGTAATCCAATTTTTTTATTTAATATGATGTATAGATAATTAAAAGTTAATTAGATTTGTGTGTGTGGTGTGCGTGTGTATATACTTCTTTTGATGAAATAAAAAATAAACTGGGTCAGGCCCTGTAATTTTTCACACTTTTTAGAGATCTCTATGTAAAAACTCTAGTGTCTCTTATGAACGCTATACCCTCTCTTTTATCTGATTATGTGCTGAATCTTAATATAAAACTAAGACGTTAAACTTTATATTTCTCTATCGCCGCGAATATTCCAGAATGCATCAATAGGATTTAATCAATAAACTTTAAATTAAATTTATTAATAACGTGTTCTTTGTTGTTTGATTTAATATTTTTTTTGTCATATATAGTCTTAATTATAATAAAAATATTCAATTTGTATTATCTATTCTATTGAAATCATCATTAAAGTATTAATAGAAAATAATAGATCTTTTTGGAGGGATTTGGAATTTATTTATTGGTTTATTTTTTTTAATAAAAAAAAATTTACATTAATAAACAAGGTCTACTGGAATGGGTGACAGGGCGCTCTTACTTAAAGATAAAATTAATTACAGCATTAATTTTTACTAAAATAATAGATTTGTAGATAGAGAGAATAAGTGAGAGAGGAGGTATAATGAATGAGAAGCAAAGAGAATCCACAACATCGGCAAGTGAACAGAAACAAAAGGAGAAGATCCACCTCAAACTCCTCTCCCCAGCCTGCTTCTACCTCTCCTCTTCTTCTTTTCTTCTCTCTGCAGCCTTCCCCTCGTTAAAAATCTTACCTTTAACCAAATCTGGTTCATAGAAGAGAAGGCCCGTATCACCAAATAAGCATAATTATAACAGAGTTGAGAGAGAGAGAACATAGAAGGATGATAGAAGAAGAAGAGCCCAACTGGCTCACTAGGAGGGAGGAGTTACCGAGACCCGAGGAACTGATGCCACTTTACCAATCTCTAATCACTCCCGACCTCGCCCTCGCCTTCGACATACTAACTCCAAACCCTAGCGCGGCACCTGGCCTTAACGCCCATGATACTGCGGCGAACCACCACCCTGCGCAAGCGCTGCTTGGGGTGCCGGACTTCGAATCCCCGAACCACTCGAGTCCCGCCGGCAGCGGCTCCGGCGGCAATGAGCTTGCACGCACGTTGAAGCGACCGAGACTGGTGTGGACGCCGCAGCTCCATAAGCGATTCGTGGACGCGGTAGCCCATCTTGGGATCAAGAACGCCGTTCCCAAGACCATAATGCAGCTTATGAGCGTCGATGGTCTCACTCGTGAGAACGTCGCCAGTCACTTACAAAAGTATCGCCTTTATCTTAAACGGATGCAGGGACTCAGCTCCGCCGGCCCTCCCTGTCCGATGTCGGCAGCTGATGCTGCCACCGAGCAGCTCTTCGCCAGCACCCCTATTCACAACCCCTTCCTGGCCCGTGGCGCCTCCGGAACTGGGCAAGAGTCGTTTATGCAGTTTATGGCTCCCCCATTGCTTCAGCATCATCAACATATAGCAGCTGCCGCTTCTTTGGCTCAACAGCGGTTCTACCACCAGACACAACATTTTGGGTCGCCAATGGCAACCGGCGTAGGCTATGATTATGGATTCCCGACAATGACGGGGGGTTCTGGATTGGGTATGCGGCACTCCTCGCCCTTGGCTGTTCCACCAAATTCTTATGGAGAAGGTATTGATTCAGGATCAAGGAGGAGAGTTCTAACTCTCTTTCCCTCTGGCAGTGAAGATTGAGAATAAGATGAGTATTTACCCAGAATCATCCTTCACATTATTGGTTGAAGTTATCTTTATTACGTATTAGCCTGCTTTCCATGTTCTGGTAGTTCTATTTTCTGATTTGAGGTCTCACTCTCTTCCTGCTTTAAGCTGTTTGTTGCTACTTCTATTCTTGGATCTTACAGCCCACTGTAATATTTGTTACGATTCCTTATTTACTGGGAGGGTTCCTCTTGTATAGACCAGTAGAGTGATATGGATACCTAAATTACCCTGTTCTTTGCTGTTCTCCAACAGGTGTCAATTGTGGGAAATATACTTCAGATTTTTTGTTTTGCTTGCATTTAAAATCTTAATGGACTTTCTTGTTTCTTCCTTTGTTGTATTCAGGAGTGTTACTTACTTTCAAGCTGTTAATGGAATCATTTGCATATTCTATGATGATGAGTACAAATAGGAAAATGTTGATCTTGGCGGTATTTAAATTGGGAATACAGTTGTTTGGGAATATATACTTTGAAGCTCTAATACTTATCGACCCTTCATAATTTGTTCCGCTATGGAGAGTTCTAGGAAAGAAGTGTTAATAATGCTTATATTCAAGTCATTAAGGATATGTAAGTCGGAGTTGTTACTTGTGTTCAAACACAAGGTGGTTTAACCAACTATTTTCCTATTTCAGTTGGATTACATCAAGGATCAACCTTAAACCCATATCTTTTTTCTTTAGTCATGGATATTCTCACTGGACATTTGCAAGAGGTTGTATCTTGGTGTATGCTTCTTGTTGATGATATTCTTCTTGCTGATAAGACTAGAGAGGGAGTTGAAGGTACACGTGAATTATGGAGGTCAACCTTAGAGTCTAAAGGCTTTCGTTTGAGTATATCTAAAATTGAATATATGGTGTGTAATTTTAGTAATAATAGATCTAGTGGGGGGATTGTGACTTTTGGTGATCAAGTCATTAATAAAAGTACACATTTTCGATATATTGGGTCTATTGTTTAGAGTGACAGTGAAATAGATGGGGATATTATTAGTAGAATTCAAATTGGATGGTTGAAGTGGAGGAATGCATTGGGCTTCTTGTTTGATAGAAAGGTTCCCCTCAAACATAAGAAAAAATTTTATAAGATGGTGGTATGACCTGCAATGCTTTATAGTGCAAAATGTTGGCCATTAAAAGAGAAGGTAAGTGTTGCTGAGATGAGGATGCTCAGGTGGATTAGTGGCTTTACTCTTAGGGACAGGATACAAAATGAGCATAGACGTGAAAATATTGGAGTAGCTCTAGTGGAAGATAAGATTAGAGAGAGTCATCTTAAATGGTTTGGTCGCATAAAACGACAGCCTTCAAATGACCCAGTTAGGAAAGTAGATGTATTAGATTTGACTTATGTTAAGAAAGGTAGAGGTAGACCTAAAAAGACTTGGTTCGAAAATATTAGAAGTGATATTTTTTTTTATTGGATTTAAATGAAAATTTAACTCTTAATAGGACAAAATGGAAAAAAATGATTCATGTAACCGACCCCACATACTGGTATAAAGGCTTCACGTTGTTGTTAAATCTTTTCATTTACCATTTTTCCTTCTTTGAGACTGGTTGTGTTACCTTTTTGTGTTCTTACCATGACTAGTAAAGTTACATTCACGAGTTTAATGTTGCTTGTTTTTGCTAGCATAAAACTCCTTTATGCATAAATCATGCCATGTCAATTCTTGATACAGTGACTATGGAAAGAATGATAGTTTCAGATGATGAGATGATTATTAGCTTTTCTTAGGAATATCAATGTTGATTCTGTACTACATCAATTCCGATTCTAAATAATAATATATTTGTAACTTAACAATGTGTGTTTTTAGTGGTTACGATTGGCTAAAATTTTATTTAATTATGATGGAAGTCCTTGGAGGCCATCTTCTTGACGCTACTAAGTTATGAACACTAGCATTTTCCTTGCTAGGTGTTTGTTTTTTAAATCCCTTTTATAACTAAACTAACTCTTAGTTTTGCACTTATGATCCCTGAATGCTGAAATGCTGGTGTTTTCCTTTGCCTTTGCAATTTGTACCAGTATACATAGTGTATTGTTAAAGATTTGAGTAAATGTCTAAAATGTTCGCTATATTTATTTGGTGTGCTATTTTAGTCTCATACTTTTTCTAATGTTTAGTCTAGTCATTGAACTCACCAAATCTGAATAAATTTGTTCCTATCATCAAATTCATAAATTGGCGGAGGTAACTTTTCCATAACTTTTAGGATAAATCTCATTAGTTTGAGTTAATGTTAAATAGTGAACTCTTGTCCTTCTCTTTTGCTATGAAAAATTTCTTAATTGATTATTTTTCTTATTAAAAAAGGCACTACATCTACATATATATTCTAAAAAGGTGTCTAATAAAGGAAATAACTAAGTAGTTTAATTTTTCCTAAAATTTGGGAAACAAAATCATAGAAGAATAATTCATTCCTAAAAATTAGAAATAGAATTGTAGGAGACGATCACAATCAATCTCTTCTTTTATTCCTAAAAATGCTTTCCGAAAATAAAACCAAAATCATAGGAGAAGATCACAATCGATCTCTCCTTTGATTTCTATTTTTTTTCTAAAATAAATTCCTTAATTTTGACTTTCAAATATTCAGCACTCTCCCTCAAATTGGAAATTTATATCATATAATCCAAGCTTGCAAATTTGGTCTTCAAAGTTAGGTTTAAGTGGAGCGTTGATGAGGATGTTACTATTTGTTGCTTGGTAGGGATGTATTTCAATTTAACTGTCTCACTATTCATCTTCTCTGTGATGAAGTATCTATCAATTTCAACGTGTTTAGTCCTGTCATGATGCGTGGGATTCTTAGTGATGCTGATAGTTATTGCTTGATTATAACCAATGTTTAAAATTGCGTAAATAAGCCTTAAGGCGTTTCTCGTCCATGAGGCAAGGCGTAAGCCTTGAGGCTGTGTGCGGCGTAAGCCTTAAGGATGAAGAATTATGTAAATGAGAATTTAAGTATTATAGCAGATAAATAACAGTAAGAGTCTATCATACAATAAAAACATAAAAATGAGAAGTGAAATTAGTGGAAAACAATAAAATAGATGCAATATATGCATTTCATAGTATAATTCAAAGTATAAATCACAAATATAAGTCTATCAAAACTATCAAAGTATAAATAAAAAAGAACATTTAAAATCCAATCATGTCCCATCACTAAATGAGTCATCAAGGGATGCATCTTCATCTCCAATTGTATTTATGAATGTCAAATCTTCATCATCTTTAATGTTACCTACTTTTTTCTTCCCTATTCAATAAGAATGATTAGTATATTATTAATTTCATATATTTTAAATATAATAGCATATAAGAAATTATGCGATACCTTTGTTTGCTTGTTGTGCTGCAGTACTAGTGAATGTATGTAGTGTGGTACTAGTAGATGTTCCCGCTTGATCTGCTTTGCCTCTCAAGACATCCACACTTAGATCTTCTAGCTGCAGGTCTGATAATGACAAATATGTCTCATCATTTATGAACCACTCATTATTAGACGACATATTATCACACACCAACGGGTTCTCATCATCCTTCAACCCCTTGTTCCTCAACCTCTTATCTCTCAATCTCTTGTTGTGCATAATATACACAAGGGAGTTCATTATAAGTGTTGAAAGTCGATTTCTTCTCTTTGTTTGCGCTTGACTATATGTGCTCCAATTTTGTTCGCACCCAGAGGAAAAACAAGTGAGACCCAAAACACTAACTGCAAAACTCTATAACTCAGAAGTGGAATCACCAAATTGGATCCATCTTTCAACTATTTTCAAGAAGACAAATGATAATCAGAACATATTAAAGTGTTATGCATGTATAGTTACTTTGCAAAAAATAAGCTTATCTGGAGAGCGTTTGGCTATAGTAGATTTTGTTGCTTGCTGACCAAAAATTCCCTCCCTATTCCGAAATAGAACAAGTTCTAAATCTGCAAGCTCCCTGACGGTCTGGTCCGGTATCAGCCGCTCCATGCAATGTTACAAGCCCAGTTCACCTCTGGATTTGAGGATTTCCTCTCTGAATACTGAAATTGAGGATTGAGATAATACGCCGCTGCATGTAGATGACAGTGTAACTGAACGTCTGACTGAGCATCGATGATATCCCAAATCTCTTTATAACTGGCCTCCTCTCCTCCCAAGTTATGTGCAATCAACTCCTTTGCCTCATCCATTGCATTATATATAAAACTCATGGCTAGTTTCTTCTTGGCATCCACTAATCATAACACTTGTACTAAGGCTCTTGTGCTCAATATGACATAGGACACACTTGCCCAAAATTTATCATTTAGAATCAGCCTTCGTATTTCCTTCCCCTCAGGTTTCTTGCTCCACAGATTGAGCATGCACAGGAGAAGAAACATTTGTGGGTTGGACTGATGATTGAACATGCACGGGTGTGGACAAGTCATGTGTATGGTCTTTGGGAACAAGCAAAGTTTGAGAAGAACTTGGTGAATCTGAGCAGGCAAAAGACACAGACTCAAGAAAGAACCCCCAAACCTGATGTTCATCCATGCTCTCCACCTAAACATGAGATTTGGGATAGAATGATGCATTTTCAAAGAAAGAGGCATCTATGGTGGTGTTAAATCTTTTATTGGGTTGTAGAATAATATTTATACTCTTTTTAAGTTGGAGAATATCCTAAAAATGTACTTATTGGCTCTAGGATCAAATTTGCTACGATATTGAGGATACACATAAATTTGATGAAGCTGCATGAGTGTAAGAAAAATTTTTCAGAAGAAGTCGATGTGAAGATTGAAATTTAAGGACTCTGGATGACATACGATTGATCAATTAAGGATTGTGCGAATGGCTTCTCCCCGGAAATAATTTGGAATATTAGAGGAAAACATAAGACATCAGGCAACTTCCAAGAAATGTCTATTCTTGCATTCATCCACCCAATTTTGTTGAGGGGTGTCAACAAAAGAACTTATATGAATAATCCCATGGTTCTAAAGGTAGGTATTAAGAGTACTAATGAAGTATTCCCTAACATTGTCTGACTTGAGTACATGAATTCTAGAGTTGAATTGATTTTGAATCTTAAGATTTAAGGTTTGAAAAATTCATCCGATCATAGAATTTGCTTTCATAAAGAAAGCCCAAGTTACTCTTGTATGATCGTTAAGGGACCCCACACATCACTATGGATCAAAGAGAAGGTATTTGAAGGTATGTATGGAATTTGAGGATATATTGTTTGATTATGCTTTGTAATATGACAAATTTCACAATGAGAAGATGTTGAACTTCTATTGATAAATAATTTGGGAAATAATTTTGCATGATATATAAA